TTTAATCTTTTCATTTCTCATTTCTCTTTTTTTCATAGGCATTCCTGGAAAGCACTCAAAGACTACATGAGGCAATGCCATATCTCCCTCAGCCTGAGGACAACAACCAGTCTATGAAAGAGGATATGGACACAATGAATGAAGATGAAAATGCAGATTTGTTTATACAATGATATGAAATATCGTTATAAAGCCCAGTCTCTTAGCAGCCACTTTTGACAAAGGAAGCCCAAATAAAGGCTTGTTGTGTTTTCTTAAATGAAATAGTTCATATTTCAAAATATTGAGTACTTAATTTTTGAACATAATTTGACTACATGGATGTTCACGTTTACTTGCACTTGCCATGTAAGCAAACTATCATTCAAATCTAAACTAAAATGTAAGGTGAAAAAATGTAGTTCATTTTGTGAAAATGGAATATTAAATGTGTAATAAAATATTCTGACTTACAATTGTTGTTGTTATTTATTAGACTAGAAACAAAGAACAAAACGACAGATTACAACAGAATAGGGTATTAACTGTTGATGGTCAAATAAGAATTATCATTAATTCTTCATTTGCATAACATAGCAGTCATCTTGATCTGTGGTTGAACTTCAACAAAGGATTTCTCATTTGTACAAATCTATTGTTCATAAAACCAACATGGGAATTATTGAAAACAAGCAATTTGATGTTGCTGCACACCCTCCAATACTCTTGGAATGCTTTTTTCAGTACCATGATGATAACAATAAGTTCCAAACCAAGATTAATTTTAATTAAAATAGACTTTATTGACTGTATTTATGTAAAATAAGATATATTGAGATATAATTCACATTGCATATGATTAAATTAAGTACTGTTATGACAAGTATTGATCATTTGGATATAATCTTGTCAGTATAAGTGTCTGAATGAAGCCCTTTGTGCTTCCTGTAGACATTTCTGTGAGCACATAARCCCCTCCGCWGGAAGTAAACTTTGCGTTGGGCCTGCTGATACCACTGTTTGAGAAATATGATGAATGTTGATTCTCTTGATGAAGTGAATGCAAGACGTAAAGCAGTACTTTCCACAATAACCACATTGGTTTGCACTGTCCAGGTAATGGCAAAGGTGTGATGGTAGTGTTTTATTGTCATACTTACACCTGTGAAAGTGAGAAAAAAAGAAGTCAAAGAACTGTTAACAAATGCTTCATCTTATGAAAGTCTCTTTCACAGCCTCCCCTGTAGTCGTAGTCGGGCTTCCTGTGGGAGGAAAGGAAGCTGTGAAGGGGAGGCTGTGAAGGAGACAAGTTTGAATGTGACTATTTTTGAAAATTACCACGTGAAACATCTGCAAACATCAAAAAATATTTTCAAAAATACTACTTGAAAACTGCATTTTTGCCTTTTAAAACTTGAAAAGTTCTGGAATTTTGTAGTGAAAATATAGCATGAAACCTGAAATAATAGTGCTAACAAATTAGCACAATTTCACTGTTCAATTGTGTTCACTGTTCATTTCCAATGCTCAGTACATTGCAGTTAATACATGTATATCGACACCTTTTCAAAACACACTTTTTCAAAAAGATGTCTGTCCATGTTGGTAATATGCCTGGATATTATAATTCTGTATTCTGGTGTCAAACATGTATTCATTAAAAAAGTCATTACAGTACATACTCACTTATATATTCTTGTTGCTTGACCAGCCAAATCCAGCAATGATGAAACAGAAAGACAATTGATAACCAGCTGCTCCTCACCCTTGAGAAAAGGATTATGTGATAAATCCAAAGATTCAAGCCTAAGGTTTTTCATACTACAAGGCAATATCCTTAACTTGTTGCCACTTGCTGACAAMAACCGTAACTTGTGAAGATTTCCTAATCTTCTCGGTAGCAAATGCAGTTCATTTCCATCAAGTTTAACATGTACTAAATTTGTCAACTTGCAGAATGTTGAAGGGAGGTAAACAAGCTTGTTATTACGAATGTCTAGCAGTTTTAAAGATGTTGATAATGCCCCRCAAAACAGCCTCCAATCCAAATCCCWAATTTGATTATTAACAAGACAAAGTTCTGACAGTTTTGCCATTGCTCCAACTCCAAGAGGAATTTCTTGGAAAAGATTATCACTTAGAGACAAGAAWGTAAGTTCCTGAAGCAGCATGATTCGTCTGTCAAACTTTTTCATGTTACAATTTGCTACTGTGAGTCTTTGGATTTTGTCAGGAAAAGGTTTTATCARTGGGTARTCTGATCTTCTACTGACTATAAGTTCTTTCTTGGGTCTTTCCAAGTCAACTAATTTAGCTGGAGCTAGAGTAGTTAAGGCTTCTTTGYTGATATCCCTGGCACTAAGCTTGAGTAGAGATAAGAGAGACTTTAAACTTGGTGGGTCTGCCTAAACACAAAAGAAAGTTGAGTATTATACATACACCTGCATTATGTACTTTATCGACACTGGTGAAAATATGCATTCGTGTTTGTATTATCAACTCAAATAGTGTCCTTTACTTCTCCCTACACCATCTTCAAAGGTAGCCATTGYAAATGATCATATCGCTTTGATGCAATCTAAGGCTAATTGGCTTCCTTTCAAGAGTTATAAACTTGTTGTAATTATGCTGACTATGATGGGCATGTGATTTTGCATACTTTACTAATAAACAGGTCATGAGGTGGTTCATTCATTCGGATTGTTGCTTTTCCATCTTGCAAAAACTTGTTGAATACTTGCATTATATTCCCATGAACCTAATAAAACAAGAAGATCGTTAAACGTACAGGGGAGRGGAAGGGATGACTTTGGTAATGTCTTTAGAAATTGCAGATGCTTATAGATTAGAATAACGTATAGATTAGAGTAAAAGTAGTATTACTACCTTATACTTCGTTCCACTTTTTTCTTTGGCAGTACAAACAAGAAGAAACACTGTCCCTTTCTCGCCATCYTTGCCTGACTTTCGTCCAACTGAAATTGTTGCCCTTACAGGCTTTCCAAGGCTTCTAGGCGGCGCAGATTTTCCTGGGCGGCTGGATACATTTATATCACAAGTCAATCGCATGTTTTTTTTGTCAACTTGAATAATAATTTAAAAGATTTTCAAGCACAATTTCTGCTAAACTCGAAGCTTGTCATGTTTCTTGGCGCCATATTTTGAGGTTTGTCACGTGCGACACTCCCACCAATCAAATTCCTTMTWGAGTACATGAGCCCGTGATCATTTCATCAGCTGTGTGWTTTCATAAAACAAAATTTCAGGTTGATTTTTTCACGTTTTGTGGACGTTTTGTGTAAATTTTTGGACATGGCAACCGTAATTACGCCACATTTGGTAACTGTACAAATCTCTAATAATGTTACCTCATTCATGTCTGAGAAAAGGTTCGARAAAGGAATTACAATCGCTGCATTGAAGGTTTGTGTACTCATTGCTGCAATGACATCGTTGTGTTAAAATTTTGCAATCTTGGTTTGTGATATAAGAATGAAATGCCTGTAATATTGATAAACGAACTTTAAGATATCAAATATACATATCTTTTTAATAGGAATTTACTACTATTTTCTCTCYCATGAATCTTT